GGTGGGTGGGAAAGCTCAGGTTGGATAGGGCCACGAGTACACAGGACATGAGGGGTGGCACGCGGCAGTGGGAGCTATTGGAAGATAAACCCTCAAAGAGAGGCAGAGGTCAAAAAGTGGAGGGCCTTGAATGCCAATTTAAAAACTCTGGAGTTAACCACTGGACAAAGGGAGCCATGAAAAGTTTTCGAGGAAGAGGAAGATAAAGCCTTCCTCAGCTGCAATCAAGCCTGACAACTTTTCAGTTTTATCCTTGAGTGTTACCAACTGCAGAAACCAGCAGCTCTGAGGACTAATGTTTTGACTGAGGGAAAGGAAAAGCGGAGAGAGAGAGAGAGGTTGAAAAAAGAGAGTGAAGACCTGGAGGTGGATAGAGATGAAAAGTGCGCCTCGTGGGAAGTGGTAGAAAGGAAGTCTTCCCTAATTCCTCATTCCAGATGCAGCTCAGGGACTGAACTTGAAGCATAACCTACCTTTTCCCTATTTAAGACCAGATTTCCAGCTTAGTTTAGGGTTTCATTTAACTTAAGAGACTGTGTTTTTGGCCAGTGAGGCGCAAGCGTAGGGCATTAGGACCCAGCGATTGTTGTAGTGAGAGGTTGAATCTCGATCTCTCAATTTTTCTCTCCAGCTCCCTCCTCTCCCTTTGTCATTCTAGCTGCCTGCTGCCTCCGCAGCGTCCCTCTAGCTCTCTCTGTGCTAACTGCCTGCGCCTTAGACAGACAGGATGCGCAAAGCAGAAGGATTAGTTGGGACCTGCCTTGGTGACCCCATGGCATCCCCCAGAACCGTAACTGTCGTGGCCCTCTCAGTGGCCCTGGGACTCTTCTTTGTTTTCATGGGGACTATCAAGTTGACCCCCAGGCTCAGCAAGGATGCCTACAGTGAGATGGTAAGTGAAGCAAATGGATGATGAGGAGCGCACCCCCAACGGATTGCGAGTACTTCTCTCCTTCTTTCCTTCCCAGTCCTGGTCCCATCCCCTTAACCCCTACCCCCAACCCGGACCCTCCCTTCTCCCCAACAACTTTGCGGCTCGGAAAGAGCAGCTGGACAAGAGCGATTTAATTGGTGGGCTATGCCGGGAGCAACTGTTCTGGAGCCACTGAATGCCAGTGGGGGAGGGGTTGCCCGGCGAGTCCCCCCACCCCCAAGTAAACCAGAAGGCTGAGACCTGCGTAACACCTGTCACTGGCAGGAGCCCTTCCCTCCTTCCAGCACACCCAAAGTCTGGGCATCCAGTCTGCAAGTCTGATTCCTTCTCTTGGAGCTAGAGTTGAGCAAGCTGGAGAGTTTATTTATAATCTTCAGGAAGAACAAAGGGGAAGGACGGAAAGAGCTGGGGGAGAATGGGCTACTAAAACAAGCAATTTTTAGAGACGGGAAAGGTATTCCTCATCCCAAGCGGAGAGCTGACAGTGTTCCCCTAGCTGCCTGGGCATGTGTCTGTATCCTTGAGACAAAGCAGTCTTGGCCCAAATAAAGGTCACTGAGCGCCTGCTCCTTTCCTTTCTCTCAAGGGAGAGCTGGATGTTTTGTTTTATTTTGTTTTTTTTGTGGGCTAATCTGCAAAGTCTGCCTTCTCTCTCCTGTGAAATAGTCCGTAGTCCACACCTTGCCTCCTGTGGATGCCCAGAGCCAGGCCCTCTGCAGGTTTTCCCCTCTGCAGAGTTGGAATCACCAAAGGTGACTGGCCAAAACATCTACTCTGCAACCTGGGGGCTGGGCTGCTCTCCCCAGTTGGGCGTGAGGAGGACTTGTTCCTATGCTGTGTAGTATGAGGAGATGGCAGGGGATGTTTCCAGCACTTTCGGTCTCTCGCCTCTCCCCCTGTCTCTTTGCCTCTTTATTTCCCCGCCCCAGCTGAAGGGAACCTGCTTCTCACTGTCTCTGCCAGACTGCCAGTAATAGGAGGGAGCCCATTACTGGGCTCTCAAGGTCAACACAGAAAGGAGCTTTGGGGAGAACAGGAAGGGAGAGAGAAAAGAGGCAAGAGGGACTCCCTGTTAGGGCTGAGGCAGGAGGAATAGCCTCACACATTGACAGGATAAATAACTCTCCTGGAGACCACAGCAGAGCCTTCCAGGGCCCCTTAACATGAGCTGTAAATTCACGGAGACTGGCAAATTGTAAATGCTCAGAAAACGTTTGCAGGCAGCTCTGGCTTCTGTCTCAGGGTTTGAGCTGGTGCTTTCCATGTCTCCCTCACCACAGGATCACCCTGGAGTGGGGGATGGTGGCTGGGACTCAAGGGCCAAGGTCTAGCCCCAGTGGCAAATCCTAACGTGTTTCTCCTTCTCCTTTCCCCTCCTCCCAGCATGCTTGACCAGATGGAATTGAAATCAGGTCAAAATGAGTATTCAAGGCAGCCTGCATTGGGGAAAGGAGGGGAGGTGGGGTAGCTGAAGCCACCAAAGGGCTCGAAGAGCTAGGGCAGAGGGACCGGGTGGAGGGGAAATGCCACTATATTTTTGTCTTGGCGGTAGTAGTTTGTTGTTAGATTATAAATAAATGAATATGCTCTTGCTTTTCTTTACTTTTCATATATACATATTTGTATATGTCTGTATGTGCACCTTAGGTATTTTTAGGCTTTCCCTTTCCTTAGGGACAGAGTACCCTTCTTCAGGATACTCCCTGTCTCTCAGACCCTGCTCAGCTGCTTTAGAGGCCCCCCAAGCTGCACCCTAAGTACAGTGTTAGGCTCTGCAGGCAATCCAACTAAGATGGAGTCACCGGGAAGCTTCCTATCAGCTTGGCAGGAGCTCACGAGGAGGACCAGCCACAAATGGGTTTACAGTAGATTTTTTCCCAGGGAGTGGAGCTGTCTATTGCAGTCTAATGAAGGCAGAAGAAACAAATATGAAGATTTCATATCATACAGAAGAACATATATTTAAATAGGTATAATCTAATATAGCAGTATAGAACCACTGTGTGTGTGTACACACAATTCTGTTTCTGTGCTCAGGGGCATCTTGAGGGAATGAAAGAACTATATGTAGGGCCGGCCCTGTGGCTTGGTGGTTAAGTGCGCGCGCTGCAATGCTGGTGGCCCGGGTTCGGATCCCGGGTGCGCATCGAGGCACCACTT